CCCCTTCAAAGCCTCGTGCAGTCATGGAGACAGCTGAATCTAGTGTTTGTGATTGGTTCATTGTCTAGCACTGTGATTTGTGGTATCAGTGCTATACTTGCCCAGGGGCAGGTACCCAGCATACAATATATGGGAGGAAAGGAGGTGTGCTTTTCCCTTTTGCCCTTTTTGGTTTTGTCTCTTGCAGCTGCCATGAATGGATGTCCCTTAGCCATGTTACCCTGCCTTGGAACCAGCTGACTATAGACTGGTACCTCCAAAAACTGTAAGCTAAATAAACCTTTTCTTTCCTAATTTTGGGGATTGGGTATTTTGCCCTACCAAAAAGAAAAATGTAACCAAGATAGTTACTGAAAAGTATAGATCCATTAAAAATAAACCAAATATTTTGAATTGTAACAATAGGAAAGATGCCTTGAAAGCATCTTAGCAAATGGGCATATACATGCACTGGGCATATACATCCTCAAGGTTGTAAAAGGGCAAACTTCTTTGATGAGAGCCCTAAAGTATCCTGTTAATTTATGACCACTTGAAGAACTGTTCCCCTGAATTCAGCCAGCCAGGCACTCAGAGGCCTCTGCAGTCATGATCCAAGGGGACCTGGCTCCTATTCAAGTTGGCAGCAGACCTTAGCATCACCCACTTGGTAATAATTTTTCTTGCAGAATACAGTTATTGGGTTATAAAAGATTCCACTGAGATTTCAAAGGAAGGCCTGTGATTCCAGGGAATGTGGGCCTGAAGGAGCAATGCATGGAAATGTGATAGTGAAGTAGGAGATGCAATAGAGACCCCAAGAATCTGGAGATGCTAGGAATATGGAATGTCAGCCAAGAAAAGTTGTGAGCAGTGGCCAGAGCTAGCTCAAGAAAAAATCCATGTGAGCTGTAACAAACAATGTGAGAGAAATAGGGCTGCCCAGGCCTTTGGAGTTCAAATATCACCATAACTTGCCCTGAGTACTGGACATGAAACTACAAGACTTAATGTTTGCCCTGCCACTTTTCAGTTTTTCTTTTGTCTGATTCCTTTCCATTCCCTTATTCCTCACTTTGGAAATAAGACTGTTTACCCTATGTAAATATATATTGGAAATATGCAATTTCTTTTTTATTTTTACGGAGGCTCACAGCAAAGAGCTTGCCCTGAGTCCCAAGGGCAATTTTAGTCAGCCTTTTCAGCAATGTTGAAGCTATTTAAAGACTTGGTGACTCTTAGAGGTAGACCAAATGTATTTTGTATAATGAGATGAATATGAGTGGGGGGGTGGGGGACAAGGGCATAATAAATATTATGCCTTAGATCTAAAATGTCCCCCAAATGCCTCATATGTTCAGAAATGGGGCTTTTGGAAGTTTACTGAATCATGAGTGCTACACTCATTGATGGATGGATCGATTGATGTGGTTAGTTAGTGGGGCTTGCTGGAGGTGAGTCATCAGGGGCATGACATGGAAGGGTGTATTCTTGCCCCTGGCTCTTTCTTTATCTTTCTGTTTTCATCCTATCATGGAGTGAGCAGCTGCCCTCAACCATACCCTTACACCATGCCATTTTTGTTTCAGAGCCAGCCAATCATGGACTGAACCCACTAAAACCATGACATAAAATAAGCTTCTCTGACTTTAAATTTCAGGTGTCACTTATTTTGTCCCAGTAATGGGGAAGTTATTAATATGGACTCCATCCTTATGCTATTTTTTCTGCCTCTTTTTATGAATCTTAAGAGCTAGGCATTGATTGGGCAATAAACAATGATGGGACAAGAAATGATGTATTTTAATCTTGATTTTTTTCCAGAAAACAAAATGAAAGTAATGTCTCTCCAAGGGAATTTGGTTCTCAGCCACCACTCAAGTAATTCATTACACAGAAAACAAAATTCCATATATAAGATTCACTGGGAAGGTTGGGAATATAGCTCAGTGGTAGAGCAATTACCTCATTTGCACAAGGCCCTGGGTTCCATTGAGAAAGAGAGAGAGACAGAGAGAGAGAGAGAGAGAGAGAGAGAGAGAGAGACTAGAAACTAAGAAAACATCAAACGTGAATATATTTCTGTTAGCTTGTCAGATATATATGCAACTTTCTTTTTAAAACCCCTTGAATCTCTGCTGGCACCTACACAGTGCCTTTCACATAGCATGTGTTAGATAAATGCTGAATGGATGAGTGAATAAAGGAATGAATATTTCTAAGCCAGAGTTCTTTAAAATTAATTGCTAAAAGTCATTAGTGTATCATTTTATGCAGAATTATGTGGTGTCTGATTATTTAAAAGCCTTTTATTAAAGCAGAAAAATAAGTAATGATTAGATGACTTTTTAAAAGTCATGATGGAAATAAATGATAATAGTTTTAGAATTCTTAGGTTGTCTATTAGAAAAATAATTGTCCATCAAAATTTTTATATTATTATGTTATTTCTAAACTGTTTTCCCCTCTCAAGCAACAGGTTCTTTTTAATTCTCATTAAAACATAAGCTGGTTAAGGTGAGGTGACATTTATCACACCTACATGCTGCCCAGTGCAGTTCTGAACAGAGGGGGAAGTGGGTTTGTGAACAGCATATGTGGTCTTTGAGGATGCCTCTGACTAACTAGAAATCTGATAAAGATGATTTGGAGATTTCCACTATTTGGCGAAACCTAAGCTTCGTCCATTCCCATCTTTTGTCAGTATCAGAAGGGCTAACATAGCATTAGACCTACTAACAGATTCTTTGAATCAGTGAATCCCTGGAGTTTAAGTAGGGTCTCAGGCTCGAGAGGTAGGGGGTTCTGCAGGGATCTCCAAGGCCCCCAGATGCCCTGGTCACACATGAACCACTAGGCTGAATCTTAGCAAAAAAACAAAACAAAACAACCTTGTAACTTGCCCAGTGCTGCTGTTCCTTCTGATAACACAGCAATAACACAGTTTTAAAGCATAAATATGAAATAGTGACTCATCATTAGCACTCACATACCATCTTCAAAAGGAAGAGCTTCCACTAAAAGGTTGTTACTGTGAATGTATGAGGGTAGTAGAGACTGGACGATGGAACTGTTTGATGTTCTTCAGTTCTTTTCATCCTAACCACTTTCATTTCCAAAGGTGAAAACACAAAGAAAGAACAAAACAGCCAGCCTAACCTCACTGCTGGAGTACTCTCAAGTGCTATACAAGCTTCCCCAAGTTGTTTTTATTCATTCTTCACATCATTTGATTTCAAAGTGAGTCTTTATCCTACACCCACACATTGGCTCAGGCACCTTGACCATGAGTAGTTAACTCTTCTGTCTCGGACTGCAGACACATGAAGAACAGACACCTTGTCAGGTCCACCTTCTGCTTTTTCTCTGCAGGTTCTTGAAATAGAGGTTTTATAGATTGATGTCTGTGGTCAAAACAGAATTAAGGGGCATAGGGTGGGGTAGAGGAATCTCTGGGAAACTGCATTAGAAACACTTCTACCATACTTTTTCCTACAGAACCCTGCAGCATTTGCTTGTGCTGGGGGTCTTAAGTGAATAAAAAAAGTCTTATTTGTAAATGAGTAAGACTGAGCTGGTGATTCTTCCTGGGTCTTATCAGATGAAAAGATAGGAAAGGGAAGAATACTAGGCCAAGCACTGGAAGATATCTGTTGATACAGCAGACATGACTGTAATAAGGAGTAGATTGGTTTGGTGTCAAGTTTCCCAAGGCATGAATATCTTATGATTCGAAGAATAAAGCAAAAGAGGGACCCACTGTGAGAAATTTGGAAGTGGTAAGGTTAAACAGGTTTCTGTACTGCACAAGTCAATATGCATTGTGAATCTCTTAAGACAGAGCTGACCACTGTTTCTCAAAGAGCCTAGGAAAGGTCTGTCTTGAAATAAAGTATCTCAAGAACAACCATCATTTATAACTTCCTAATCCTGTCCCAAGGGAGCCTTGGGTTTTGAAGAACAGACAATCCAGAGTTTGAATTCTTGGTATGTGGTTAATTCTTCTGCACTTCAGTTTCCTCATAAGAAAAAATGAATAATAGTGTATACCATGCTGTATGTACAGAGAACTTAGTGAGGAGTTCAGTAGTGGGCAAAACTGGCTTGAACAAAGAATGACTCTTTTTAATGGATGAGTTAGGAAAAACAATCCATCGGTGGATAACCACACTGTCATTGCACAAGTATCTTTCTTCAGAACGCCTTCCTTGGACCTTCCCAGAGACTAAACCCTTTGGAAATCTGTGAGTTCTGGTAAAATTAAACAGTCACAGAGTTTTGCTTCCTCTCTCCTCCCAAAGCACCAAGATCTGAAAGAATGCTATGCCAGTGATAATAATAACAGCTAAAATCTCATGTGGCAGTGATAACAATAACAGCTAAAATCTACTGTGTATTAAGGGGCTTCTGTCACCCAGCACAGTAGATGCTTTATATTTCTGTTATTCCAATATATCTTCATAGCAAATTTTCAAGGTAACATCATCACCTTCACATTACAGATGAAGGAACTGAGGCTTAGAGCTTAAATACCATACTCCCTGGCACAGTTGATGAGCAGCAGAACTGAAGACTTACGCTGTTTAATTTTTAAAGAACAAAAATGTTCACTAAAAGGCTGTGGTCCTCTAAGATTACCAGGAGCTAAAGAAAGGCTTCTAAATATGAAGCTGTATAGTGGAGTTCGGGGAATACCCCACAAAGGATCTCCTGCCTAGAAGTAGCCTGTCCTGCATTTCCTGAGCTGTCACCCCAGTGACCACAGTGCCTTTCAAAATATCAACTTAATTTGAAATAGGCCACAACTTTTCAGTTTGCAAAGTCACCTGTACACCTGCTTCTTTTTTAAATGATGACAACTGACTTACAATCAACATCTCTGAGAAAAAAAATTCTGAGAAATTGCTAAACAATAAATACACTCCAAGAAGTTTACACTTTCCCTTCTGTTGCCACATGAGCTATGGTTCTAATGGAGAGTTCAGCTTGCCCAGATTGCCTAAGGACAACACACACATTACCTTTGATTGGCCAAATGCAGAGGTTTTCCTCACTCCAGATGTTTTAGGAGAAACCAAGATGAGAAAGCCTTCTCTATGAGGGAACGTGGAGGTCTGAAAAAAAAAAGAGGCATAATCTCAGTTCTCTGTGGAGCACTCCTAACACACACACACACACACACACACACACACACACACACACACACAATTTAACCTTGCATCTCTGCTGCAGGGATAACTTCTGTTTAAATAAATACACACAGAGTAAGAAACAGCTAGAACAGTACCTGGCTGCTTTGCCTTTCTGCCAGAGCCACAGACTTCAGAGAGAATGAGCTGGCTGCAGCTCTCTGACCCAACCTTCCTCTCTGTTCCTGGCCTGAAGATAAAGAGATGTGCTCAAGTAATGGGATGCACTCTCAGCAGTCACATGACTGCTTCCAAGAGGACCACGCTCTGTTCAGGCAGAACCAGGCTGCTGTTTGCAGAAATCATCCACATTAATACAAAGTAGGAGAGAGGGGTTCAGTAAACAATGTCAGAAAAGCAGTCTTTGGGGTTAACAGAAGATGAGTTTTAGAAAACATTTTGGTGATCTAGATACAATTAGGGGAAGTAAGATAGAAAATCATTATTCTTTGGAACTAGAAAGACATGGAGTTAAGGAAGCATCCCCTGGGCACCATGCTGAAAATGAATCCATGTGCCTTTGTGCTACCCTAGGTATTCAACAAGCTTCTTGCTGGAGAACCTAACTGAGAGGAAGGTTCACATTCCTTCATCAGCGGGAAGGCAAATAAAATTGACTTGAGTTTCAGAAGGAAGAGGAGGAACACACAAGTGAAACCTGAAGTGCCCATTTCAGTAATGGACGCTAAGGGCCACAATTTCACTATCTTTCAACACAATCCAGGGATGGTCTTGCTCCCAGAGTCTCATGCTGACTATGGCCACACCACCAGCAATTTTCCTCCCCAACTCTTCCCAGCTGGTTACACAGCATGTACGTGTTCAAGCGTGTTATCTTTAGGCTTCACTAGTCAGAATTTACAGGACTCTAGCCACAACCATTTCATGACTCCATGCAAGCTGCTCTTTAGCCCTATCCCTCTCTGCAATTGAGAGCCACAGGAGAGCTAGCAAAATGGTCACCTAGTTTGCTATTTAATCCAATGAAGTCCCTTTAAAAATAACTGGAAAAGGAGCTTTGGGCTTCTGTTCTTTATTAGCATATTAAATATTAGCAGAGGGCCTCATTATGAGGCAATACAATCACACAGGTTTCCATGGCAGAGACACAAAGACAAGGATCTGATGAAGCTGCCACACACACTGTAAATGATAGCATAATTACCCAGGCTCCCCCTAAAATAGTGGACAATGTGCTATATGGCTTTTCCAGCAAAATGCCTGTTCAATCCACAGCAATTAAATATAATGGCTATGTCGAGATACAATTGTTCAAATGTCACCTCCTCTGTGTGAAGCCTTTCCCAAATCACCAAAGGGGAATTAGTCAGCTGTCTCCTGGCTCTTGAAGCCATGTATGTGTTCAATTATAGAGCTTCCCAAAGCTTGCTGTAATCTGCTTTTTTACACACCAAATCCTAAAGGGGAAGATTCATTCCACTCTTCTTGGTGTCCTTAGTACTGGATATGTACTAAGACATACTCACCAAATATTTTATTAATCTCAGAAAGAACAGAAAAAAGGAAAGAACTCAAGATCAGGTGGGTATTTTTAGTGGCTAGCCTCTGGGATGATTGAATATTGGTTTGCTCTTGATCATTTAAAACTTAAAATTTGACTGAAATGAACAACTTCGACTTTTGTGTTGTACAAAGAACACTGAGGTGTTACTTTGAGCACCACAAGAAATCCTATCACCAGTCTCCACTTGCTAAATGAATAGACATTATTTGAATAAATCATAAAAATGAGTACTTGCCATGTGCCTGTACTTATTAATTTCACATGTGTTAATCTTATCTAATTCACACACCATCCCATGAGGTATATACTATACCATTATTACTCCTACTTACACATTAGGAACAATAGCCCAGTGTGAAGGGCAGAGCTAGGACCTGAACCTTGGCATTTTGACATAGAACCTCTTCTTAAAATCATTACACTCTATCACCTGGATCAGTACATTGTTTGTTTGCAAAATTCAGATTTTAGCCTCTTCACAGATGTTCTCTGGTTTTCCTGTAGTTGAGTAGGAATGTGTCCTCCCAGTCTGAAATGAGAGAGAGACAGAGACAGAGACAGAGACAGAGACAGAGACAGACAGAGAGACAGAGACAGAGAGAACAGGTAAAATCATGGAAATAGTACAGAACTCACTCATTATCAGATTTGTTCCCCTAACAGCCAAAGAGGTCAATTTATCTCCCAATGAGCACATCTTCATATGAAAACAGCCAATAGGAAAGGTGAGAGACCATTTTCCCTCTGGAAAAGTCCATCGCAATACCAAATCATCCTTGACTAAGACACCTTGAGCTCTTCCATTCCATTCAACAAATGTTCATTGAACCACTCTGAAGGGACACAAACAGTGAACAATATATACCTGACTTGACTGTGTGAGGCAAACACACGGGTAAGAAATTGCAATAAAATCACGAATTAAATCAGTCACTTCTCTTGGATTATAAACTCCAAAGTAACTACAACAGTGCCAAGCAAACAAGCGCTATCTATTACATGAATAAATGAAAGTAATATGATGTGATAGACTCTCTAGTGACCACCTGGAAGACACTACAGGACAAGGAGAAAGGCCTCTACCCTAGAAGTGGGGATGACAGAAGGCTTTCTGGAAGAATTACCATACAAATCTCATGACTGAACAGACACGAGAAGAAAAGTGGTGGCGAGAGAAGAGGATGTTCTCATAAGCATGTGCAGTCTACAGTACTTAACAAGAATGTGAAATAGGAGAGGGAAATTAAAAACCAGAAGCATCTGCATTCCTTCTATCGCCACAGTCAGCCTTCGAGCAGGCGGAGTGCCTGTCAACATGGAAAACTGGCTGCCTCTCCCCTCAGCTGGCTGGACCTACCTTTTCTTCACCGCCTCTCTTTCCTTTCTCACTTCCCCACTCCCCAGTGGTTTGCCTTCACCTTCCAAATCAATTTCTTGTCAAATGCTTACCTTGGGTTCTGCTACTGAGGGAATCCAAACCAGGATACTTAGTCTGTGATGGTGACAAACTATGCAAAGAGAGAGGAACAGAGAAGGCTGGCTATCTCACAACGGAGGGGGAGGGCATTGCAGCCAAAGCTTTCCTTTTCACAAGCTTCCTGAAGCCAGCCAAGCTAATGCACTTCTAATGGGAAGCTCCTATTATTGATCATGACACACCCTGAGGAGTACATAGAAACTCAGCACAGCAATTGGATTGGGGAGTAGACTGGGAAAACAATAATCTGCTCAGATCTTCTTAGTGGGAGGTATTTAAGGGATATGTCCGTTCATGGTCCCTGATACTTCAATGCCCATAGCACAAAAGCAGGGAAGCACAGACAGGACGGGACTTCCAGATCTGGCAATTCCAGATCTGCCCTTCTGGTGTTCTGGTCAGTGGTAAGCAATCATATCCAACCATCTCCTCTAAGTCATCCCCAACATTGGGGTACCTGTCCCCCTAGCAAATGTACAAAAAATGTTTTTGTTGGATGGCAAAAAACCAATGAGTTCAATAGTTTTAGCTGTAAATAAATGAATATGCCTGCATCAAGGGTACATTCTTAAAAAAATTTACTACATGGGGCTCATAATGCAAAAAACTTCAAAGGAAGTATTGTGATATAGCTCAGTAGTATGAATATAGCCCTAGATTCTATCCCCGACACCACACAGACATGCATACATACACATGCATGCATCCATGCATGCACACAGCTCCCTAGAGGGTTCCAGTGTGGGAAAGATAGGCTAAGAATGTTCTACCCACATAACCTTGTGTTTCCCATGGAATAAAGCTATAAACCTGTCCAGAATCCATGAAGCAGCTCTTTGAGGCCTGTAACAGACAAACTCTAAGATACAGATCCACAGTGATCCCCACCTCCTGGTAAATTCACATTCTTTGGGCCAGGGATTTAGCTCAGCAGCATAAGCAACTGCCTGGCAAGCATGCGGTTATCAGTTCAATCACTGGTAACAAAAAGAAAAAAAAAAAAATTTACACCCTTTATGATCCCCTCCCTTTGAGCACCTGCTGGACCTAACGACTTGCTTGTAATCAATAGAATATGGCAGTGTTGTTGGGATGTCATTTCTATGACTAAATTATAAAAGATTGTAGGGGCTGAGGATTTAGTTAGGGGCTGGGGATTTAGCTCAGCGGCATAAGCACCTGCCTTGCAAGCAGGTGGTCGTGAGTTTGATCCCCGGTACCGATAAAAAGTTAAAAAAAAAAAGTTAAAAATAAAAAAAAATTTTAAAAAACGACTGTAACGTTGTGTCTTGCTAGTAGACATTATTGCCTTCATAGCTTGCATACTATAGTTTCAATGAAGTAAGCTGCCATGTTGGAGGGGCTCACCAGCAAAGGCCAAGGAAAAGTCTATAACCAAAAGCCATCAAGGAGCTAAGTAAGATTTTCAGTCAAATAAACCATGAGAGATTGAATTGTGTCAATAATGATCATAGAACATGATACTAGAAGTGGGTACCTCCCCAGCCTACAGATTTCTGCTTCCCAGCCAACTCCTTGGCTATACCAGTTCATACAGATCTTAAAAGACAGAGTCCAAGTAAGCCATGCCTGGGTTGCTGCCCAACAGTAGAAACTATGAGATCATAAATATGTGTCATTTGAAATTGCTAAAATTTTTGTTCATCTGTCACAAGAGCAATAAATAAGTAAAACAAGGACTCTGAAAATAATGTAGAAGGTAGATTAAGGGAACATCAAAATTTGAAGTAACTCTGAACTGACAGTGAGTTTACCTTTTCTCCCCTTTCAGGTCCCTCAGAATAAATTCAAGGAAGCAAAAAATTCAAAATAAATGCACAATGAAATGCCACTATTCAATTACTAGTAAAATTAAATTGAAAAAAATACTAAAACAATCCAGGTATGGTGACACATGCCTGT